CTCTAGTAGTAGGAAATTATATAAGGGATCGCGGCAGCAAAAAGAAAAACAGAGGAAAGAAAAATGGGAGAAAAACATCGCCTCATCACTCGGCGATTAGCTGATTGTGCGTGGGTCCTAGAACGAATAATAGCAATCTGTATTGTCTCGACACTCGTCTAACGTGACACCGATCGGGGGGCGGGAACGCGAACTACGGCAACAACGGGGCTGCCACTATGCCCTGGACGTCGAGATTGGGGGAGTGGGAGGGTCCTCTCTACAACCCATGAGGGCCGCTAAGTATTAATAAGGTAAGAACTCAATAAATTTTTACCGTGAACAGTGTCTTTAAGCACGCCTGGGGAGGTGAATCTCGACGAAGCCGACTCTGGTACTTGTTCCCACCTGTTTAAGCCCCTTTACTTTTTCAGGCAACAGGCTATGGGGCATGCTTGGGAGGCACAGGTTTGTCCAATTGTAAGATTGGAAGTTCAGTAACGATTTTACCCATGAACTGTGCCTTGAAGCCAAAGAGGCCTTCTCACTAAGAGCGGTCACGAATCTTGGCGGAAGGGACCTGCCTTTCGATAACACCTTGCTGAACTTGTCGATGTAAGTGGTGCAGTAGTGGAAGAGGAGCTCAGCGACTGAAAATGGAACAAGGCGTCACAGGCTTCTTGACGTATGTGTTTGTGGGTGGTTGATTTTTCGGATACTTCCTGATTATTCCATACTACCTCGAAAAATGGCTCGCTCCCCGCTTCAACCAGACACTACCGTACAGTGTCTCATAAAGAGAACAGACAATCAGGAAGGAGGTACGGTGAGGCGGATTTCGAAGACGTCGGCGATTTGTCCTACAGTAGAGCGAGTCGTCTATCGGTCGTAGTGTTGGTGCTATTGGCAGAAAATTCGTGTAGTGGGAAAGGACCTAATTTTAGTCACGGTGGTCGTCCCTCATTGTTCCCACACCCAGCATTGCATATCTTTTTGAACACATCCATTATAACCACACCTTCCATTACATACAGCTTCCATTCGTTCCCGTCTCGCACCGCTTGGGTTCTGAGGGGCAGACAGGAAAAAATCTGGATAGAAGACTGGCTCCCATGAGCTTGGTGCGTTCAGTTCCGGAATCACTGCTTCTATCATGATTTCTGCAGCACCAAAGTTGTTTTCGTAGCATTTATCCTGATGTTCCGCTCGAAAGACATCCCTGCTGATGATAGAGCAAATCCTCTCAGGAGAGCAAGCGATTGTGAATTTATAGACTTTTTCTCTTATTGCTCAATCCTAGGGGGTTTCTTCAAACGTCGTCCGTGAGCAGGAAGAATGGTGTAATAGCTGCTGTAACCCGGAAAAGTCACTTGGACAGAAACGCTAGCCTATAGCCATTGTTTAATGAGATCAAAAAACGACAAATAGAAGGTTCGCTAATGTCTTCTACTTCTATTGTCCGAACATTCTCAGCCGGCCACTGCTTGAGACAAGTTCGTTAGTTATTCCGAATGAATTGTACATTTAGACGGCAGTACGGCAGTACGGTGAACCATAACAAGGCTGGTTTTTTTCTAGCTGTCCTTTTTATTTCCACTGTTGTGTTTTCTGTATCTTGTGGTTCTCCTTCTGCATTTAACCTTTCTTCTTATGTCTTTCTTTCAAAACTTCCATCTCGACACTTATGTGTTGTCATACAAATCCTCGAAGACTTGAGGAAATCTGAATGTTGCGCTGCCGAATGCTCAAAAAGGGGTAGCTCGATGGATCCTAGCGCTCGCTGTTCAACCCTAAACTAAATTCGTGTGGCAACTCAGGTCACTGTACCAAAATTTTCTGCGACTGCGAAATCTTCGTTGTCGTTTGTCATCTTTTCTTTTTACAAACCTGGAAATGCCTTATGCT